GAATTATTAGGAATTCCTGACTTAACCCTGCCGGTTCCGAGGTTACTTCGTTGAGTCCGGGAAAGGAAGCCGTCCGCTACTTGGGGGCCAAGCCAACTTGGAGCAAGGACGTGAGCTAGGAGCGAGGACCGTTAGTAGAAGCTTGATCGAACTCCGACTAGGTTATAGTCGTGATTTGATTCGAGTATAGTCTGAGTACCGAACTCCGTTATAAGCCGTGACTTCGACGGTGGCTCTAACGTAAAAGAGTCGGCTGATAGTGAGAATAGGATCGAACTCCGACTGGATAGTACAGTCGTGATCTTCGACCAAGTAACGAGTGGTGTCGAACACCGGTGTGAGCCGCTTCGACGTTTTTACTAGCGAAAAGGATTCGATTGGTAGTGTCGAACCCCAATCGGACACTATATTCGTGGGCTGCGAGTGAGTGTAGAGTTAGTGGCCAATTTCGGTAGTATAAGCAATGACTTGGACATTATAACCGAACCGCCTATTCTCTCATCGAACTACGATTTCCGGTAATCGTGATTTTCGATAGGGAAAACGTTGTATAGACATATCGTTGTTTTTTTTCGTCGAGAATCGCGCCATAATAGAAGAAGCCAAGATCTGCTGTGATTATGGCGCATTCAAACGAGAAGAACTACTCCGAACCTCTGTCGAGGATGAAGAGATGCTGGACGAAAATTTATGTGACATTTTCTTGAAAGATTTCGAAAGGCTATCAAATAAGTTGCTAAGCCATGTGACTACTATTGGTGTCACCTGTGATAATGAGCTGGCAAAATCGATGCGCTCAGATGATCCTAGAAGGAATGGAATGGAATGAGTGTTGTAGCGTCAGTAAGAGAGCAAGTGGCGTTAGTAAAAGAAATCGCGAAGGCAACACTTGCTAAGATAAGCGAGTTGAGTAGGCCTAAAGTAGCAGAACGCGTTTTTGAGCTTCTAAGAGAAGGGAAAGTTAACAGTGTAAGTCAGCTGCAGGAGCACATGAGTAAATGTGCTGCAATGACTGAAGTGATGGAAGAAATGCGGAATCCTGCACTACCAAGACTCAGAAGTAGTTATGAAAGTAAACGGGTTGTCCGCAATTTCACTGTAGAAAAGAAGACAGCCAACGAGCTTCGACTGCAGTTGATTCAAAAAGACTCACAGATCGAGCAATTGCGCCAAGAGTTCGAGGGGTTAGGGCAGCAGAAAAAGGCGAATGCCCTCGCGGATAATGATTATAGCAACGGTGCAGCTCAAGGTGAGTCTGGGTCATTAAGGCAGAATGATTTGATAGAAGCACATCATTCAAGCGACCAGTCGTTACAGAGGAGTACTTCAAAGAGCTGGATGCCATCGCGGCCGTGCTGCGAGATTATGCGGAGAGACGGCTGCGGAACATGTCAAACTATACTGTGAATAATTATTTTTTTTGATACCTCTTCGGTTCCCAATAAACCCACTCTGTATCGTCTTGGGTCTTCGGCTGAGGTTGGCGGACCTACTAAAACAAAAATCTTTATGATCGTTTGGGTCTGCGGTGAGGTTGGCGGAGCTACTAAAGTTGTATCCGGAAGCGTAATCCCTCCCCGGCTTGCCACGTGTTGGCCGGGACTGCCCTTTCTCTCCTTCGACTTGGCCACACCCCACCAATTATTACTATCTGCTCATTGTGAATACTACGGCAACTGTAAACATATACCTTACTATAAATAAATAATGGTACAGTCGTCGTTCACAGCTAGTACTACTGAGTTTTCACTGAGTGATTATATCCGCACAATGTCCTTACCAGAAGTGCAACCTTTCTCTGGTAGGCAGGCGAATGCTTCAAAAGATTTGTGAATTCCTTTGACATGAAGTATCCCAGGAAGCAGTGGAAAGATTCTAACAGAGTACAACTATTTCAAAGTTTTCTCAGAAATAATGCGTTAACGGTATTCGAGACACTGCCAAGAGATGTACGGGAAGGTACATACGATGGGATCATCGAAGCAATGAAGGTTAGAATGCGCATAGATGGAAATACTCAGCGTGTTAAAGCCCTAGCTGACCTGCGCTTACTAGCGATGAGACCCGGACAGCCGCTCAGCGAACTTCTGTTTTGCCTTAGAGAGCCTGGCAAATAGAGCGTACCCGGACATGCCCGCTGAAGCAACTTCGTTGCAGAAGGCCGAGATTCTATGTAGGCAGCTAGCTAACTGGGAGGGAAGTTACTGCCTTACTGAGGCATTGGAGACCAGTAAGTGTGAAGAGGCTTATGAAAAAGTAAAGGAGGCAGCCCTAAGGTTAGAGAGAAGCCTAAAAACAGCTGAAGAATGCGGACTGTTAGATGAAAAAAGAAGTGAGGTTAGGCACGGGCACCACAATTTTGACAGACGAGGTGGATTGGTCGTTGACAAAGGCCCAGGAAGTGGCTCGAATAGCGACTCGGAACGAGCATCTAAACCCACGCTAGGAGACAGGCCAGAAAGTGCGCCAACTGTTCGAAAGGAAAACGAGTGTGAGGTCCACCAAGGTGCTATAAGTGCGGTATTATGGGGCATTTGGCAAATGATTGTCGTGATAGACCTGCTTTGCAACGAGGCACCCAACAACGCTGAATGCACAGCAATGGCCTACGCCTCCCTGGTAGAAAGTGGGTAAGCACTTCGTGGTGCGAGCCCGATTCGAAAACATGTGAGTGGTTTGGAGAGAAGCCACTTGAAGGTATTACGCTATGTGGAATCGAAGCAACGGCGTTTTTAGATACCGGTTCTCAAACAACTATTGCTCCAGTGGAATTACTGAAGAAACGATGGATAGAAATGTTGATTTGGATGAATACATTGAGCGCATACCCGGACCAAATACCTAAAGTGCGAGACGCTTCAGGGAACGTAATGGAATTTCTGGACACTATCCGGGTACCAATAACATTAGAAGGACCAAGAAAGAAGTGGTATCAGCCTTTGTAGGAAGAAGTCCAGACGAGGTGGTGATTTTGGGTACCAATGCTCTGGAGTTGTTAAACCTAAGGCTGTTGAAGAATCCTGAAGCAAAAAGTGCGCAAATGACCAGCAGGGCAAATGCAACTGTGGCCAAGGTAAAAGGCCCACCAAGAG